CAAATATTGTGTAGTCTGAGCTCGGCATCACATTTGGATCCAGTGGAAATTTGCAAAACTGAACCCTGATTGGCCAGTAAAAGGTCAAAGCAACAGAAGAGCCCTTGCTACCTCTTTTCTAACCCTCTTACCTTCCATAACACCCCCACTCCTCACCTCACACCCTACTCCCTTGGCCTGTGCACGCGAGTGAAGCGCTGCTGAGACTAACATGAGCCCCCTCCTTGGTGTTTGCATGCAGTCATTGCATCCAGCAGATCCTGGAGGCGGTGCTTCACTGCCATCAAATGGGCGTGGTGCACCGGGACCTGAAGGTGAGTAATTAGGATCACCTTGCTGTCCCTTGAGAGTTATATATTCGTGTCGGGGGGGTTGTGGGTGTGTTATTTGTCTGGTCTGGTTTGTCTGATTTGTTATTGACAGACTGTCTGTATTATTTGTTGATGTAATGTCGCTCGCAAAGCCTCCTGCCTTCTGATCTAACTGTAAAACATATAGTATTTACTCAGATTTAGGTAAAAGCTTTTGCCCCCAGTCAGCACTCTAACAGCCCCTTTAGGCTTTGTGGTGATGACTGAGGGACTGTTAAATGCTTTTTCTAGCTTTTGTCTGGCTCTCTTCTGTCGTACGCAGCCTCCAGCTCTCTGCAGTCACCTTCTTGTTGTATAAACATGACTTTCCCTGGTGTAAGAGGATTTTAGACATGCACGCAGGTCACTCCACCTGACCTGCGCCTTCTCTCTGTAACCTTTTTGGAGCAGGAATTTGTCATTTACACAGCTGTCCCATTTTTATCGATGGATCCATCTAAGTTCTACCAAGAGGATACTTAATCTGATCTCTGGTTCATTTACCAGATAGAGATGGATGTGAACTATTGATTATCAGGCACCCTGTGAGGTTTAGATTGACTTAAACGTGACAGCTCATTTTTTGTAAAGGCCCGTTAATTAACTTGTAGTGTTCTGAAGTTTGCCTGTGTTAGCTGACTGTCAGCTAGTTCAGTCCATTTTAGAGCTGGAAACAGTTAATGCATTTTCACATTGTTCTCACTGCTCTCAGGGATTTTTTTTCTTTTCTCAAGATGCCTTTTAGTTTTCCAAAGCAACACCTTAAATATAAACCATGTGTGAATAAGCATCAGAATAGAAACAAGTCTTTTACCTGTTTGTGTTTTGCATTTGCATGCCTTTATGTTGCATCTTGTTTTACGTGATGCACCTCTACTGTCCAGCAGACCTTTATGCAAATGTCAGGCATTCCAGTAAAGGCGTGTTGTGTTTATCAGAACTGTTGTGGCTCATGTCTTTATTTAGCTGACACACCTATCTGGTTTCACACCCGAGCGTTGGAGAGTGTTTCATGCAGTAGGTCATAGTGTGATGGCTGAGGACAGTCTGAGTCACAAGAACCCTCAAATTGGGAAAATGGGATACAGAAAATGTCGGCAACACACTGTGCACTTTCACGTGTGTGCCCCAAAAACCCATATCTATGTACAGACTGTAAAGCAGATGCTATATAGTGTTTTTGACATCTCAGAAATTAAATGTGTACTGATCCCAAGGCTATATGT